TGGGAGTCCTCTAGACCGCATTCTGATTCCCCTTCTTCTGAGGAAGATTGTTTTGATGGCTTGGCTTCCCCTTAGTGCAGCCTTTTATTAAAGCCGTGAGACAGGCATTTCTTTGGGAAGAAGCAGCAGAGCAGCCTGAAAAGGAGGAGATATTTCAAACACGTCAGGAAGGAAATGTTGTCTTTTCCCTTCATGGATGAAATTAAGGATATTATCCAAGACGAATGGAGTTAAGTGGAGAAGTCTTCCTTTAGAAATAGATTTTCTAAACTTTATCCTTTTAAAAAAGAGGATGTTAAACAATTGGATGAGTCACCTTAATGAGGCTGGTGGGGCATGTTACGTTACCTCTTGACGATGCTGTTACCTTTTAAGGATGTCTTGGATAGAAGAGCTGATTTAAATCTTAAAAAGATCTATCTCTTGGCCGGTGAGGCCTGCAAGCCTGCGGTTGCTATTGCAGCAACTTCTAATGCCCTGGAGGCGATCTACTATCAGCGTCTCAATATAAAACAAAAAGGCTGAGGAGCGCAACTACCTAGGTGCGTGCTACTAAACTGGTATGGCTAACAATAAACACTCATATAGGTGGTTACTTAATTTCCAGTTGGAGTGTCAGCAGGTATGTCTGAAGTGGATTGGCATCCAGGGTCTTTCTGTTCCAAGGATGAAAGGTGAGGGACTGACGGCTCCTTAACCGTGGATGCGGTAAGAGATTGCAGGCACACGTACTCGGCTGGCCAGGCCAAGCCGTGGCAGCTCTAGAGGGAAGGAGTGGATGACTAACGGCTGGGGAACTCAGCTCACTGTGTGTCTCCACGCCGTGCTCAGGAAAACTGTCGGGTGCACAGAGTGTTGTGTGTCAGTACTCTAAATCTGGAGGAGAGAGTGACACAACGGACAATGTCGGCAGTCGGCTACGCGTTTCGAGGGGTTTCCTCTTTATCAAGCCTCAGGATAGTAATGACCGCGGGAAGCCGGTCATCTTTTTAAAAAGTGACAGGGGGAGGAGTAAACATTTGATTAGCCCGGTGATAGGCTGCTGCTCCAAGATGGGGATGGGCTTATAACCTGGGTTCACCCAGGGGACGAACTGTCGGCATGTTATCGGGCAAGATTACGAAACCTATTATGAGATACTGCCAAATCGAGACAGTTGGGATGGACATATACCGTGTTTCCCCGAAAATAAGACACTGTCTTATATATTTTTTGGCTCAAAAAAAACACACTAGGTCTTATTTTCGGGGTAGGTCTTATTTTTTTTTCAAATCCAAATTAAATATTCCAAAATGGCAAAGTTAAGAATAGGATGATCAGGGCAATCAGGGGTGCCATACCTTTCCAAGAGCAATTTGGTAACCAATCGCTGGCCAGAATGAGCAAAGTGCACTTACACTATAGATTCCTCCCAGGCGGAGTGCATTTGGTATCACTCCGCCTGTGACAGGAGCCGGCGCTATGGAGGCATCGGCTTATGCGGCTCTGCTCCCTTCACTGCCGCTTCGCTTCCTCTAGTGCTGGCTTTATTGGCACCGCTGATTCTCTCCCACGGCTCTTCAAGTTCCCCCATATGCCACCACCGGCCCTGGGAATGGTCACAACTAGGTCTTATTTTCGGGGTAGGTCTTATATTTTAGCAATTCCCAAAAATAGTACTAGGTGTTATTTTCGGGGTAGGTCTTATTTTCGGGGAAACAGGGTATGTAGGCATAGTATAGCCTTTCTTGTTAGCCATAAGTTTAGTAGCACGCACCTCAGCCTTTTTGTTTTATATTGTGTTTGTGATCTACAGGGTTCCTCTCCCTGTATTGAGGAGCAGTGCACACCATTCCACAGTATCCACATTCCTGAAGTGTGTCCTTCTCACAGGAGTGCGCTTTATCATTTGTTTTTATTTATTACTATCAGCGTCTCATTGTCTTCAAATCCTCAGCACCATGGTATCAACAATTGCTATGGTCAAGTGGGCCCAGTGGCAAACTCATTACTTTCAGACTGGTTTCTTGAGGCAGTGGAAATCGGAAAGTCTCCACCAACTCATTCGGGTCATTCCTCAACTGCGGAACAGCCTTGGGTGGTGGCTTATGGACCACAACATACTGTGCTGTCAGTCTCTCCGCCCTACCACGTGGACGATCATCTCCTTGGATGCCAGCGAATGGGGTTGGGGTGCCTCTTGCCTGAACGAGATTGCTCAAGGTCACTGGTCCTTTCCTGCAGTAGGGGTGGTCCCCAATGTCCTGGAGTAGAGGTCATTGTTTCAGGTGCTGTTGGCATTCAAGCAATTGATTCTGGGAAAATCAGTTCTGATGAAAGTTAACAATACCTCAGCAGTGGCCTATATCAGGCGACAAGGGGGCACACACAGTCAAGGCCTGCTGGAAGAGGTCCTATTATGACTTGATCAATCTTCATCTGTCAACGGTGTACATACCAGGTCCCTTCAATCTCCAAGCAGATTATCTATCCAGAGTTCCTCTGGACAATGAGTGGTGTTTCCTTGATCAAGTTTTTCAGGGCATAGTCTCCTGGAACTTTGCTCCAGAAGTGGACCTATTTGAGTCCCGAACCAAAGCCAAAGTCATCAAGTTTTTCTCGAGGTTTCCCTGTCCACAAGCAGTAGCGACAGACACCCTGACAGCGGAGTGGGCCGGTAATTCTCATACTACAGTTCTTGAGGAGACTCCGGAGAGAAGAAGTGTTTATCCTGGCAGTGATTCCAATCTGACCCAACTGGTACCCTTTCCTCTGCCAAATGAGTGTGCGGGCTCATTTCCCCTGCCACCATTGCTGAACCTTTCAGGGTCTGATCCTTGACCCAGCACCTGTGAAGCTTTGCCTAGCAGGATGGATGTTGAAAGGCGGAGACTTCAAACGTTAAGGTTGCTCCGACAAGGTGGTCAATACTCTCCTTCATTCTAGGAAACCCAGTACTAATCGGACGTATAATAGGATATGACTGAAATTCCAGGAGTTTCCCTCATACCATGGTTTTCCGCCATTGGCTCCACAGATGAGGCATGTGCTGGACTTCAAAAAGGTTTAGAGTTGGGTCTGAGTTTGAGCACTCTCAAGGGTCAGATTTCAGCAATTTCTGGCCTTTACTGGTCTCAGACTTGCCTCCAATTGTCTGGTCATACAATTTTTCAAAGCCGCGTTGACGGTCAGACTGCCAAGGACTCCTTTGTTCCCTAAATGGAACCTTCCCTTAGTCCTGGATTTTCTAGCCTCTGAGGCATTTGAGGATGGCGTGTATGCCTCACGTTAAAGACAGCCTTTCTAGTTACTATCACCTCCGCCAGATGGGTTTTGGAGTTGGCTGTTCTTGGGTTTAAAGAACCCTTCACTACTTTCCTGGCAGATAGAGTGGTTCTAGTCTCCATGCAGGGGTTCATTCCCAAAGTTGTAACTGACTTTCACATGTGACAAGAAATTGTGTTGCCAAACTTCAAATCAGATGATTGACACCGGATTAGCCGCTTGGATGTATGTAATACGCTAAAGGAGTATATTTCAGCCACAGAAGGGCTTAGGTCCATGGACCATCTCCTGCGGGTGCCAGCAAGGGTGCTAAAGCATCCAGTAGGCTAATAGCGTCATGGATGGTGAAAGCGATATCGTTTGCATATGAATCCAAGCGCCTACCTGAGCCGAGTGGGGTGTTGGCTCATTCGTGGTTTTCCCGGCATGCGTTTATGACTCACTATTGTGTAGATCCAGCACTACGGTTGAATTCGGCCTTAGAGTTACTTCTTCTGCTATGGGTTGTGATTAAAGTTTTCAAGCATACCCCCCGTTTGGCTAGTTATTTCCCATTCGTGTGCTGACATGAAGCTGACAGGAAAGCAGGAAAATTGTATTTCATACTTACCGCAGTTTTCCTTTCCTGTCTAGCTCCATGGCAGCACAATACCCACCCGTGTAGTAGTTGAGTTATGGAACGTCATGCCAGGGGACAAAATAATACACATGATGTTTCCTCCACCCGTCAGAGGCCGCAATACAGTGATATCACATCTACCAACCAGCCCCGAGGATCGCCAGCGGGGCTCCCTTTGGACTTTGCCATTTAGGAAAGGGTTATCGGGACTTCACCAACCAGCAGAAATACAAGAAGGCGGAAAGCAAGGAATTGATCCCTGCCAGGTGAGCAACCTGCTCTGATCCTGACACGTAGGAGAAAAAAAAGGAATGGCAAGACAGGGGACTCTTTAAAACTTATGAGTTACGATACAGATTAGGGGGAGGAGGAAGGGATTAACCCATTTGTATGATGCCATGGAGCTAGACAGGAAAGGAAGGAAAATTGTGGTAAGTATGAAATACAATTTTCCTGTTTTGATTTCCATTGTAGAAACAATGCCGCGGGTGTGTTAATCAGCAAAAGGTGGCTACTTTTAGTCAAAAATTTAGATTACATTTTGTTTTTAGAAAACTATTCCATGATTTCTTTTAGACGTTCGATTGTTTTTTTATTCTATGTTTTATTTTCAGAGTGCATTGGGTAAATTTATTTAAAACAATTAAAAAAGAGGATGTTCTAAAACTTTTGACCTATAGTCAAAATGTTTTAATTTAATATGCTGTCAGTATTTATTGTTGCTTTTTCTAGATAATAGTTGGGATTGATGTCAGTCAGTGGATTTTTTGGTTAATCATTTATTTTATAGAATGTTAATGCCATTAGTACCAAACACCTTTCTTAAGCATCTTAATGTTTTTTTTATATAGAGCTTTTTGTATATTGCAATGTGTATTTCTATATTTCCGTTCTTCTCATCTATTCTGTTTGTGGCTATTGGGGTTAATGGTCATCCCACGAGGTTCCATTAGTGGGAGTCGATGTGTGAGAGTTGAGCGGCTCCATTTTCTGTTCATTAAACATAACAGATTTACTGTAACTGAAAGAGCTGCATTAACAGATTTTACCTGGACTTTGAGGGGTTAAGCACAATTAATAATAACTTAAGTTTTTTTTTTTACATGACTTCATGCAGGAGCTGATGGAAAAACAAAGGATGACATGCTGAATACATTGTATAAGCGAGTGACAGATGTCCATTGCATACATGAGGCAATGCTGAATTTGACTACCCATGATTCATTTCTTAGTGCATCAGAAATTTTCTACAATAAAGGTGAGAGCCAAAAAAGGGAAACATTTATTTGGGAAAAAAAGGAGAATGTGCACAGCTTTAAAAATACATGTTTCTGCCTAAATGACAACCATATGTAGTGACGTGTGTGCAAACACAAACTGTTATATTTCAGTTTATCTTATCGTGCAAAAGAATGCACATTTGTGCAGATTGCACACAGTAAGATAAGCTGAAGTTGTAAGCCGTTTATAAATATTGTGGGGACCCCAGCAAAGTGACAAAGTAACAGGCTTTCTTCAGCAAAACATAAAGCAAAAAGTCTTTCCACGCGATTGCACTGCGTAGTGCGTTTTGATGGTCTCACCTAGACACAGTCCACTGGCTTCTGAGCAGCCACACACACAGAACCCTCTGTCTGTCTCTCAGCTCCCCACTCCTCTCTCACCTGTGTGACCTTTTTAACAGGAAGGGCTGTAGGGGAAGTACCTGCCCTCCCAAGCTAACCCCTTCTTTGCTCTCAGCCATGCTGACTCTCCACACTATATATTATAGCCTTGTAATCACAGAAAAAAACAGCACCTCTATATATGAAATGTAATCAAATAAGTGCTAGGTGGAGGTGCTGTTTTTTTTTCTGTGATTACATTTGAATAATTCACTGTTTTTATTGAACATAACTGTATATCCACTGTATTGGTAATAAAATTCTTTGCACATGAACATGTGATTACATTGGCTTCCCGGGTCAATGAGATTTGTTCACACAGATGTAACCAATAAATATGCAGTAGCATACCATCCTGTTGCACACACCTCCAACATCTAGAAGAGGTTTCGGAAACATAGACTGGAGGTGGACCGGAGTCCTGTACCATCTTGCAATACATTTGTAACCAGATACTTGCATTTTATTAGAAAAAAGCACAGTGGTGTAGTGGTTAGTGCTTCTACCTTGCAACACTGGGGGTCCCTGGTTGGAATTCGGCATGGTATTTACCAGGTCTTTCATAGCCTTCCTCCATTAGGAAGACTTCCTGGCCTCTGTGAACATCAAGAATGCATACTTGAATGTCCCAGTTATTTCCAGTGTATCAGCTATTCCTTTGCTTTGCTGTGGGAGCTCAACATTTCCAGTTTATGGCCCTGTATCTAGTGTATCTAATGTATTTACAAAGTCTCTAGCCCCTAGCGAACAATCCACATTTGGTGGATGACCTCCTGTTGAGGGAACAGTGGTCTACAGCTGATAGACATGTGCGATTCGTTTAGTTAGGAATCGAAATTCGGACGAAATTTCGTAAATTCGGACATTCGGATGCATCCGAATTACAGATATAACGAATGCAAACGAATCCGAATTTCCGATTCCGAAATTCGTTAGCAGTAGTCTGGACGAAATTTTGTTTGTTGGACGAAATTTTGTTGCAGCAAAATTACATTAGAATTTTTTTTTTTTACAGTCTGCAGAAGAGGAAAAAAAAAAGCATGAGGTTTTTACCCTTTAGGTCTGGTAGGAATGTTAGGAGGGACCCCCCCCCCAAGTTAAAATTAAAAAAAAGTGCGCGAGGTTCGCACCAAAATCCATACCAGGCACTTTAGGGCTGGTAGGAATTTTAAGCGGGAACCCCAGCCCCAAAAAATGGGGTCGACTGTCCGAACCCAACGAAAACTCGACGCAAAATGACATTCAGCCTGCAAGTAAACAGATGGGCGGCGCGTGCCGTGACGTCACGGC